CGTCACCGAGCGGGAAGTCCAGCAGGCCCTGCGTCAGAAGACAGGGCGCCGGCTCCTCTGCGGGCTCATCGTGGACACGGGCCAGTACAACCGGGGCTTCCTGCGGAACTGGCACCAGTTCTCCACCCTGGGCACCGCCCCCTGCCACCACCCCGCCGAGGACATTGTCTGAAGTGCCTTCTGTGTGGCTCTGTGAGGGGTGGCTCTCCCCTCTGCGCCCTCCCAGTGTACCCGTCGGCGTCCGTGCAGGATGTTCGCTTTTATCCCCCGTTTCTTAAAGGCTGTCTAGGGCCATGCTCAGGTTTAGACACAGGACTGGGAAGAAATGATTTTTTCTGACTTCACCTTAAGAGATTTTTATATTGAAGCAGTAAAAGTAGAGTCATTCTTTTCCAGTCACCTTGTTCACTAACTCAGTCACCAGGAGTGGGAGAGGATGCAGATTGCTCATGCACAGCTTGATAGAAGCCATTCCCATCCATTAGCAGGGGAGAAAGAGTTTGGATTAGGATCGTTTCCAGTCCCTCTTTCAATTCCTGATAGCCATGTGACCCTTCGTTGAGTCACTTCCCCGAGTCTCAGGTTCATTCATAAAGTGGGGTGCCGCCGCCTGCCCTGGCTACCTCACAGTCGTGAGGGTCGTGTGAGGGACCAGGCGTGTGGAAAGCACTGGAAAATGACGGAAGCACCCAAGAGGGATGAAGTATTATTAGGAAAACTCGAAGTCCGAGAAAAATGTTGCAGGTCAGAATATGGAAGCCAAAACTATCCGAGGAATCCATTTTCAGCATTTCAGAGTGAAAGAAAGATCCTGAAATACCACATTGTACCACATTGTGCAGTTATGGTAATTTCTCTTTCTGAAGTATTAGACATTAGCTACTCAAACAGAAGATGATCGGATGGATTCACAGTGTCATCTGATCCTGAAGGGACAGTCAATAACAGTTCTATTTATCGGTAGTATAAGATACAGTGGTCATGAGTTTAGGTGGTGAGTCCTTATATTTATCTCATTTCTTCTGTATTTATTGTTTGGATTTACTCTGAATAACTCCAAACTCTAACAGGCATTACTGTTTTTTTCCTCTTTCCATGTTTCACCTGGGAAGGTGCTAGCACACTTTTGATGAGGCTGGAAGAGGAGAACAGACACTCCTGTGGGGGAACAGTTTACACCCTTTCCTGGGTAGGGTGGCTGGTCAATATCAAGGGCTCGATTTTTTTTTTTTCATGTAAGTAATGCAAACACTGTCAGTTACAGTACTCGGTTGCAAAAACCAGTTTTCTGGCATTTATATTCTGGTATGAACTCTAAGGAGTTGATGGACATCTTCCTACTTGCACATTACTTCTCATTCACCTTGCCCTAGACAAAGTATCTCACTTGGAGAGAAAAAACAGGGTATTTATGGTTTCCGCTAATTAATGGATTATGGTTCTTCCCTAGCTCTTCCTAAACTCTTATCTTTTTTATCATATCTTGAAACTGAAAATGTATAAAAGATTAAATATTTATAGAGAATGGGTCTGTTCTGCCAAGGAGTTAGGATGAGGCAATTTCGGATGGGGGAAAACACCCTCTTGAAATATTTAGTTTTTTACATGTGCTTATTTTGCAGTCCCAAAGAAAATTCATGAGTCCTTAAGTTTGCTTTGGTTTATAGCTTAATATCGGGGAAATATTGCCAGTTTTTTCAGTCCGTCTGTGCATGCTGTTGTCGTAAGAAGTTCATAAATGTTGAGAGGAAATACTGGTACTTCCTGCGACTCTGCCCTCTGCAGCTAGCACCATCCCTAGTCCTGCCAGGAAACAAAGCTGTCCTCAAGACAGTCAGCACCTCTTTATACAGGCTTGTCGCTACTCTCCCCAGAGATGGATTGTTAAACCAGTGAGAGGCTCCGTATTCCACTGGGATGAGCCAAAGAGCAAGTCTGGGGTGTTAGCAGTCTGTGGTTTCTACAGTGATGCCCTGGCTCTGGCCCAGAGTCAAGCATTCATTTGGAATTAACATTGGATCTGAGAGAACTAATTCCTTCCTGCTAGGTTTGAGATAAGAGAGAGAGGAATAAGGTCAAGGACAGCACATGCGGCCAGAGCTCTCTAGTTGTAGTCTCTTGAATGCCAGATGTATAGCCAACTCTAATCGTCTAACAGTTGATAATAGAATTCATAGAAACAATAGTATAGTCAGTAATTTTAGCCTCTTGCCAAATCTTTAACAACCATCAAAATATGACATGATAAAGGTGAGTAGTACCCGAGACCGCAGTCACATGGGAGAATTAGGAACGATTGCCATTTTTATAATAGCACAGACCTAATGGTTTCTCTACATGGGGCCTCTCAGGTTCCCTCACCTGCATAAGGACTCCTTTACTCCGGCTGGTTGGGATGAAGTTGCTTCTTTTAAGTTCCTTGAGATCATGATTGGCATTTTACAGGAGAAAGCTGAAACTTTTGAAAAAGTTCTGTGGTTTTATGGGGATAAAAGCCTACTGAGGTATTTGTACCACAAGGAGCAGCAAACAAGGGGCTCTTTGTGAGCAGGGTTTCTGTAGGCCCCGGGACACCCTAAGTCTTAAGTCTACGCTCCTAGATTCTTATACCTTTTTATGACCTTTTTTGTCCTTTTAAAGGACCTTACACCTTTGTCCTTTTAAAGGACCTTACACCTTTTTTGTCCTTCTAAAGGACAAGGCCTCTAGGAACGAATGAGTCCCAGAGAAACCTGTGGTGGCGGCGGCGGCCATGGGAGAATTGCTCTGCAGCCCTATAAACCAGCAGTTTGTTGGCCAGAGAGGCAAGTCCTCCCCCAGCACAACTCCCTTTTCTCCACCCCCCTCCCGCCCCTGCCCCTCCATCCTCAGCCTGTTAATAAACATACTGATATGGAGCTTTAGCAAACCATCTACTATATTCTGACCACTTACATTATGGTCATGCCATCGTGTGCTATTCCTGGGGAAGGGAAATGGGCCCATTCGCAAGATTTAAGGGAAAAATAGTTAAGGATCAGGATTGCATGAAAGGAGAAACGTCCTTTAGTATTTAAAATGCTTTTTTAATGATACCCAAAGAGTACTTCGTGGTTCTAGCTGGGCCCACTTGAAATGAACTGACCGTGAACAAGCCTTAAGTGAGTTTTAGGGACACTGTTGGTCATCTCACCTCAGCCACCTCTGTGTCTGCTTAGGATACATTCAAGTAGTGTTGTCCTTTGCTGAATGAAGTAATTGTTGTCATCCACTGTGCCACCTGCCTGGCAGAAAGACTGCTATGAACTTTCTTACGCAATAGTCCTTGGTACTTCTAATATTTTTAGTAAGAGAAAATTTTCTATACTAGAACCTTCCACTGCCAGAAAACACAAGACCAGTAAGGTTCACTAGAATACTGACCCATCTGCTTCGTAGACTATATTTCCTTTGGGTAGGACATTAGCTTTTTATTACAAAACTCAACTTCCATAATCAAAAATATGACATCTAGAAGCACAGTTTTAACCAGGATGTTTAACAGTGTTTTGTGAAATTTAAGGGTCTCTTTAAACGAGGTAAATGGGTTTATAGGACTTCATTTTAGCCATATGTAGGTACCCTGCATTTGAAAAAAGAAAATTTCCTCAAACAAGTAAGGGAGGATAGAGCCTTTCGTTGGGCACCTGTGCGGAATCTGGTTTTCTCAGCAGCAGCGGGGCAAGTATGGCATTTTATGTTAAGCACTGCCAGGGTGTGATGCAGGGGAAGGAGGAGAGCTATGCTTAACTCTAATAAAGTCCCCTGGGTTCCTGTGGGTGTTTGCTGTGATTAACGGAAACGTTCTGCGGAATCAGCTACGTGTAATCTTGTTGATAATGGGCTGTTAGCCCACTCGCGTCGGCACCCTGTGCTTCTCTATAATGGCGGCAGTAGCCCCAGACTGAGTGGTTCATGGAGACAAATCTCTCAGAGGCTGCAGCTGATTCCAGCTCTTTCTGAGTTGGGCTTTTGACTTACTGCTACTCTAGCCTTCCTGGTGGCACCTGCTCTCCTAGAAAATTCATACTTCAAAGGCAAAGCTTTAAAACCAGAGCCAGTCGATTCCAGTTGCCGATGCAGCTCACACCCTGTGTTTCTTCCCATGGCACCACTGACAAGATGCCACGTTCTAGAACTGGGAAGCTCAGTCTGCTCTGATCCTGTGGTCTGGGTGGATTCGATGATTTGCGTTGTTAGGACTTTTGAACCTTTTCACCTGAGTACATTTCTGGGTCTGATGTTAGGCTAAAGGAAATCCAGGAATATTTAATGTTCGCTATTTAATGCAACTGGCCCAGCAACATTAAAGGGGATTCCTGATGCCAGCTCTGGAGGCTGCGGGCTAGACGTTTTGCACTGTTTTTTATACGTGTATTCATACCCTTTTATCACCTCAGACTCAGACACAAGGCCTTTTAAATGGAGATTTAAAAAACTGCCATTTATGTAAAATAATGTACCGTGACCAAGTTGCTTTAAATGGAAAATAAAGTGCTTTCTTTAAGGGAAATGGTGTTTATTGGTGTGTCTTCTCCTGAACTCTTTTGCCTTAAGAAGCCTGTGTGTGTTAGAGCTGGGCCGCTCCACTGGCTACCGAGGTGTCCCCGTCTTGCGGACCTAAGTTATCCCTGGCCCTAAACACTCCGTTTCCTGGCGGTTACTTTGTCTAGTTTTATAGGCCAGGGATACTGCTGCTTTGGGCATTTTGTTAGCAGTACTATTTCTAATCATGTCTTTAGGATAGCCCAGCAAGAACTACAGATCATTTACTAAGGGATTTTCCTGTGGGTCTTTAGGAGGTTCCATAAGTAGGTAAAAAGTCCTCACTGGCCCAGTCAGAATATGGGCTGCCAATGACTCAATGGCTAATTGATGCTTGAGGTGAAGTAAAAATAAAGGAAAGCTTAAGAGAGGAAACTTAAGCTTTATGGGATTTAAGACTAAGTGGATTAGTCTTAAAAAGTTTTTAGATGACAACTGTATAATCATATTAAAGGAAAAGACGTGGGGACAGGGACACTGTAGAAGGAATAAAGTTCAATTTAGGGTGTTTTGTCATTTCTGAGTAAATCCTCACACATGTTCCACAGAAAAAGGATGTAAGTCATTGTGCAGGTGGTGGAGCTGGATATCCCTTCTAGGAAGTAAGGACAAGAACAATTTATTGAACACATATTCAACTTTATCTTACCAACTCGAATTTTCAACCTAGCAACTACTAGCAGTTACCTCGGCTGCAAGGGGCTTTCTTGTTCTACCGATGTACTTGTCTATTACTTAGATTTGTTATAACGAACATGTACTTTATAATGAAAATGTTTTTTCTAGCAGGTAATTCAGACAATTCACAGAAGAGCATTTGTCAGTCTCTATAGTCATCTGCACCTTGAAGATGAAATCGTTCTTTGAATTCATCTCGATATGTGGATCAAACCGAGCGGAGGACTAGAAGAGAGACGGAGTGTATTATTTAGAAGCTGCAGTTGGAAGCATGCACAGATGTTTTAACGAATTGCTGGACTGCCCCTGAGAGAGTCATTAGCTTCTGGAATTCCCTTCATGCCTGTCAGCATGCACTGAAGAGAAGGATCTTTGGTGCCATAGTTGCCCCTCAGTGAGACAGTCGCTGCCCTTTGCAGCAGCTGCACTGGGTCCCATTTGGGATGCGGCTTCCCAGCAGGGTGGGCACAAAGGAGGGCGTCTGGCAGAGGGCCTCTTGCCAACGCTATGGTGCTAGGTCACGGACCACCTGTGACTCCTTTTCTGCGTACTCACTGCCTTTAATTTCTATTACGTTACATTTGTCAACAACTCATGTTAAATTATAGGGACACATTTTCTTTCAGAGACTCAGGCAAGCAAACACTTGCCTCTTTAAAGTTTCTGATGCTAAAATATATAGGATGCATTTGAATAGTTGAGCTTTACACTATTCTTTGAATGATCCTGCTGTGATAAATGCTTTAGTGAACTAATTAGCAATCCAACAGAAATCAAAGAAGGAAGTAAAAATTCCCCAGAGAGACCCTTTGATCCAAGAAGTGCCCGGCGGGCCACAGAGCAGGTGTCTGCGTGAGTGTGCGGATGCCCGGCCCGCACACGGCACCCACTCTCTCAGCGCCGATGTCCGCCACCGCACCCGGGCCCGGGGCTCAGCGCAGCGCGAATGGCTGGAAGTCTGGGAGAATTTCAGCCACCTTCCGGCGGAGTTGCTCTCGCCTTTCTTCTTTTATTTTTTCCTCTTTCATAAATTTTACAGACTTCTTCCATGTCTCAAATGTGATCCAGAGAGTCCTCCTTTAAACAGAAAAGGAGGAAAAGTTAAACACGATGGAAAAGTTGACTTTCCATCTGAAGTACATTAAAAACTGTAGAAGAAGAACTCTTTGAATACAGTGTTAAAAGATATGGAGATCAAAATTGGAAATGGGACAGTGAGAAATGCTAATGAAGAAAATAACAGCGGCGAAACAGGATGGAGGAACTGATAGGTCATTTTTATTTTCCATCAGGCGATCAGGGAAACCCTCCGTGAGGTGACATTTGGGCAGAGCACCCAGGGGCCTCTGCACACGCAGGCCATGAGACACCCCCAGGTGATCTGATCACAGCCTGTGTCTTGTGCTCAAGACAGGACCAGTGGACCAAAGGCTCCAGCAGCCAAAGCCCTCAAGGCAAAGATGTTGGAGAAGCAAATGGAGCACCACAGTTACAGGCACTGAGGCCCAGGTACTTGGACGTCCAGACCGACCTCATTGTAGTGCACTTCGCAGATACTGCCTGTTTTATAAACTGAAGGTGTGCAGCAACCCTGCGCTGAGCGAGTCTGTCAGCACCACTTTTCCCAATAGTGTCTGCTTACTTCGTGTTTCCACGTTGCATTTTGGTAATTCTCACAATATTTCAAACATGCTCATTATCATGGTATTTGTTATGGTGATCTGGGATCAGTGACGAACCACGCCCATAGGAGACAGCAAACTTAACTGATAAATGTGTGTGTTCTGACTGCTTGACTAGCCATTCCATCTCTCTCCCTCTCCTCAGGCCTCTGTATTCACTGAGACACAATGATACTGAAATTAGGTGAGTTAATAACCCTGCACTGGCTTCCGTGTGTTCAAGTGAAAGGAAGAGTCACATGTCTCTCACTTTAAATCAAAAGCTAGGAATGATTAAGCTTAGTGAGGAAGGCATGTCAAAAGCTAAGACAGGCCAAAAGCTGGGCATCTTTTGCCAAAAAGCCAAACTGTGAATGCAAAGGAAAAGTTCCTGAAGGAAATTAAAAGTGCTAGTCCAGTGAACACACAAATACTAAGAAAGCAAAACAGCCTTATTGCCGATATGGAGAAAGTCTGAATAGTCTGGGAAGAAGATCAAACCAGCGATGACATTCTCTTCAGCCAAAGCCTAATCCAGAGCAAGGCCCTAACTCTCTTCAATTCTAGGAAGGCTGAGAGATGAAGCAGCTGCAGAAAAGTTGGAAGCTAGCAGAGGTGGTTCATGAGGTTTAAGGAAATAACCATTTCCGTAACATAAAAGTGAAGGGGAAGCAGCAGGTTCTCCAGAAGATCCAGCCAAGATAATTCATGATGGTGGCTGCACTGAACAACAGGTTTTCACTGTAGATGAAACAGTCTTATTGTGGAAGATGATGCCATCTAAGACTTTCTTAGAAGTCAGTGCCTGGCTTCAAAGCTTCAAAGGACAGTCTGACTCTCTTGTTAGGGGCTAAGGCAGCTGGTGACTTGAAGTTGAAGCCAGTGCTCCCTGACCATTCTGCCAATCCTACGGCCCTTAAGAATTCTGCTAAATCCGACTGCCTTCGGCTCAGGTCATGATCCTGGAGTCCCGGGATCGAGTCCCGCATCGGGCTCCCTGCTCGGCAGGGAGTCTGCTTCTCCCTCTGACCCTCCTCCCTCTCATGCTCTCTGTCTCTCATTCTCTCTGTCTCAAATAAATAAATAAAATCTTAAAAAAAAAAAAGAATTCTGCTAAATCCACTCTGCCTGTGCTCTATAAATGGGACAATAAAGCCCGGATGACAGCACATTTGTTTATAACATGATTTACTATCTTAAGCTCACTGTTGAGACCTATTGCTCAGAAAAAAAAAAAAGATTCCTTGCAAAATAGGACTGCTCACTGACTATGCACTTGGTCACCCAGGAGCTCTGATGGAGATGGACAAGGAGACTGTTTTCATGCCTGCTAGCACAACATCTATTCCGCAGCCCATGGATCAAGGAGTCATTTTGACTTTCAAGTCTTTATCATTTAAGAAATACATTTCTTAGGGCTATACCTCTCTATATAGTGATTCTTCTGATGCATCTGGGCAAAGTAAATTGAAAACCTTCTGGAAAGGATTCACCATTCTAGATGTCATTAAGAACATTCATGATTCACGAGAAGAGGTCAAAATACCAACATTCACAGGAGTGTAGAAGTCAATTCCAGCCCTCATGGGTTGAGGGGTTCCAGACTGGAATGGAGGAAGTAAGTGCAGATGTAGGGGAAACAGCAAGCGAACTAGAATTAGAAGTGGAGCCTGAAGATGGGACTGAACTGCTGCAATCTCATGATACAACTTTAATGGACGAATGGTTGCTTCTTATGGCCGAGCAAAGAAAGTGGTTTCTCGAGATGGGATCTACTCCTGGTGAAGATTGTTGAAATGACAACAAAGGATTTAGAATATTACATAAACTTAGTTGATAAAGCAGCAACAGGGGATGAGAGGATTGACTCCAATTTTAGAAGTTCTACTGTGGGTAAAATGCTACCAAACAGTATCATATGCTACAGAGAAATTGTTTGTGAAAGGAAGAGTCAATTGGTGCAGTCAACTTTATTGTTGTCTTTTTAAAGAAATTGCTGTAGCCACCTCAACCTTCAGCAACCACCATCCTAATCAGTCAGCAGTCAGTAACATCGAGGCAAGACCTTCTACCAGCAAAAAGATTATGACTCCCTGAAAGCTCAGATGATGGTTAGCCTTTTTAGCAATAAAAAATTAAGGTAAGTACATTGTTTTTTAAAACAATTCTAATGTACATTTAATAGTATAGTATGAACATAACTTTTATGAGTACTGGGAAGTAAAAATTCACTTGACTCACTAATTATGATAATTGCTTTACTGCAGTGGTCTGGAACTGAGCCCACAATACCTCTGAGGTGTGCTTGTGTATATTGTTTAAAACGCCCACTGGTAACATCACCTCCAACAATGAACACCACCACCCTTGAATTTTAGTTGAGAAAAGATTACCCTAATGTCCAGGTTCTGGAATCACAGTTCGGGAGGATCACAAGTTGAAGCGAGGATTATCTGCTGTCAGAGGGGAGACATGCAATGGCCTTTTAGGATAACAACTACCTGCACACTGGGGATGTGAAGGTAAGCCAGATAGTCTCTGCCCACAGAGGGAGTTACCCTGGTGAACAGATCACTTCAATGCAGTGAGGAGCTGTCATGGTGGAGATACGCACTGGGTACCTCCCCAGTCTGGTGGTAAGGGACATCATAAGTTTTTGAAAGAGATTATCTGAACTGAATTTTTGTCAGACAAAAGGCTTTCCTAGAAGAGGGCATGTCTTGAGTAAAGGCAAAACAGGCAAGAATAGCATGGTGTGTGTAAGGAATTATAAGCAGAGTTATGTTGCTGAAACAGAAATGCAGAGTGGCTAAGTTTATATTTTCACAACTCGAGGCATATGTGGGGTCTATTCTAGCTTCTTGACCTTCTCATGAAACCCTGGAATGCATCACAGTCCCCATTAACTCTATGGCTGATGGTGGTTTGCTGTTTCTGATAATGTTGATTTTTGTTGCTGGAAGTTAAAAACTAAAAGGCTACAAGGAGTGCAGCTGCTTCATTTGCTTTCTTCCTTCGTCCATCCAGGCCTCCACTTAGAGCCACCTGTCCTCGGTTATCTGCCCACTCAGTCCTTGCCCGTCTCCCACTCTTACCTCTGTTCACATCTTTCTCCTGGCTACCCTCCCACTTTTGACTTCTACATTTCATCTCCTACTTTTCTCCCCTGATGGAAATGCTTTGCCCCCGCTGGATGAAATTTTCCTAGACCATCATTGCCTGCATTTATCTTTTCTTCCTCTGAACTCCTACAGCACATGGTCACAGTCACTGGTTTGGTACTTAATTAGGTATGTGTGTAAGTATGTATCTAATCTGTTACATTTCTACTGAATTATAAGAGCCAGACACCATGTTATTGGGTATTTTTTATGCTTGGCAAATATGATTTGGTAGATGAGCTATGGATGTATTATGTAATAAATGTGATTTAAGTCACAACATAAGAGTTCTTAACCTGTGGTCCACAAACTCCTTGACATTTTATGTAACACTGTATGGGATGTGCACAGGTGCATTTTTGGGGGTCTTGGTGTGTGACTTATTACTGTGAATGGACCTGTGACTCCAAAATGCTTCAGAAATAAAGTACCGAGGCAATATTGGAAATATAAGAAGTACTTCTTTGTCGCTTGTTATAGTCTTTGTTTTAAAATGTATTTTGTGGGGTGCCTAGGTGGCTCAGTTGGTTAAGCGTCTGCCTTCGGCTTAGGTCATGATCCCAGGGTCCTGGGATGGAGCCCTGCATCGGGCTCCCTGCTCAGCGGGAAGCCTGCTTCTCCCTCTACCACTCCCCCTGCTTGTGTTCCCTCTCTTGCTGTCTCTCTGTCAAATAAATAAATAAAATCTTTAAAAAAAAAATGTATTTTGTCTGACATAAGTATTTCTACCCTGGTTTTCTTTCCACTTCCTTTTGCATGATAAATGTTTCTCCATCCCCTTACTTTCAATCTTTAGGTGTCTTTCGGTCTGAAATGAGTCTCTTGTAGGCAGCATATAGATGGGTCTTGCTTTGTTTTCCATTCTATCATCCTATGTCTTTTGATTGGAGCATGTAGTCCATTACATTCAAAGTAATTATTGATAGGTATGTGCCTATTGCCATTGTTTCATGGTTGTTTTGCAGTTCTTTGCTCCTTTCTTCTCTTGCTCTTCTCTCATGGTTTGCTGGCTTTCTTTAGTGATATACTTGGATTCCTTTCTCTTTATTTTTTGCCTATCTATCTATTATAGGTTTTTGATTTGTGGTTACCATTAGGTTTACATATAACATCTTCTGCATATAGCGGTCTATATTAAGTTGATGGCTGTTTAAGTTTGAACCCATTATAAAGGCACTACATTTTTACTCCCTGCTTCCCCCAACCACCATGTTTTAGGTATATGGTATCATACTTTACATTTTTTTATTTTGTG